TTCTATTTTTTATCTTTTTGGATTAGTTTCATAATCAGAAATGATTTTGGACTTTGGCTTCTTTCAAATGGAAGGAAATACTGCTGAAGATTTAGAAGGAAGTAAGAAAATAATAGCAAAAGCTATAATCAATCACAACAATGCAACAGAAGCACCTTGCAGGAAGCAGTAAACAACCCATCACTAACAACACTTGAAACCACCACAACAACAGCAGAAGCACCATGATCATTAACAAAGACAATGACAACAACAACCCCTTTTCTAAAAAACAATTTTAACAGTGACATGATTATCGATAGTTACGAGTGTTCAACAGCAACAACAACATTAAAAGCAACTTTAACAGCTGGAACAACAACAGCAAAAATACCACCACCACAACTGCATCAACAACACCACCACCACAGCAAAAACAACACCACTACTTCAACTGCATGACCACCACCACAACATCGACAACAACACCACCACAGCATAAACAACACCACTACTTTAGCTGCATGACCACCACAACAGCATCGACAACAACACCAACACAGCAAAAACAACACCACTACTTCAACTGCATGACCACCACTACCACCACAGCATCGACAACAACACCACCACAGCAAAAACAACACCACTACTTCAACTGTATGACCAAAAATCCCAAAAACTGTAAAAACAAAAAAGAACACTTGAAATTTCTTATCCAAGTGTTGCGACCAAACGTGTTTCAATGAGGTATGCAGAGTAATGTAACAAATACCAGAATCCACTTGGGTCAAACCACCCGGGTCACGTCACTGATCTATTGCCACAACGCAGTGTACTCAAGGGAAGTACAAGACGAGTTTACGCTGCTCGCGTATTGACTTTCACTTTCTTATGAGCACAACAACAACCATTTAACCATGGTGGTAATACTTCTATCGACGGCTGTCATCTTTGCGGTTCTTCTTCCTCATGAAGGTAAGATATTCTTTCGAAGCTTCCATGTTTTGGTGGTCTTCCTGGGCTTTAATAACCGATCTGTAACGCGTTTGTGTTTGGACTCGACCAACGTTTCATTTTGGGACAACGGTTTTCTTGTACTCCAAAGATTTGACCATTTACTTGTTGCTATGAAACCTTGCCACTGGAGCTTTCAGGTTTTAATTGTTAAACATCGGTGCTTCAAGTGAGAGTTAACCACAAGTCGAATTGTTAAGACTAAATATCGAGCTAGAAGATTAATCATAACGGAAAGGTGACGCGGAAGTGCTCGGAGTATCTTTGTCTTTTCACAAAAATCACTCAAATATTTTGCTCAAGAAAAAAGCAACAGCACTTTTTAGTGTAACTAAGTTACAAGGAGTGCTGTAATATTATTAACCTGTCGATTTTCTAGCAAGAGTTTTAAATTTTTGATAAGTTATTCGTAACCAAAATATGCTCGCGAACCCTTTTACACTTGAGTAGTTCTTTTAAGGAAATATGCTGGGCTATTTTAAAGACCAAGAAACATTTTACGACAAAAATATATACTAATTTCCTAGGAAAATTCATTTTTGTTCAAGCAGTTTGTCAGGAAAGTTTGGCGTCCTATAATGGCACTTTTATTGCTTTGTGGTGGGATTTTCTTCATCAAACCAACTTTGCTTCTTTTAGATTTTGAAGGAAGTCAAAAGGTCTTTCCAGCTGATTAATATTCACGGTTACGAAGTACTCTTTGAAAACAGCGAGGCTAGAGCAACGAAGAAAACGTTCATTTTTGTCCGAAAAAGCAAAGACCTTTTGTTTGTTTTGCGAGCACTGTTTTCGTGTTGCTGTCGAAGAAGGAGCCTTTTAGCGTCACCTGATATATTCTGACTAATGACGGCTAATGATATCATACCATTGACTGATTACAATTTCCACTTGATCGTCCTAAAGACCAGGAAACCATGTCTTTATGAGTATTATTATTTTATCAAATCATGATGATAAACTGTAATTTCTTTCCTATTTCGAGAAGGATTCTCTCCGGGGAAGGTGTTGTGTCAAGACGCGATCGGTCATCATTTTTTGGCAACCAAATATTTATTTTGTGATTACAATTGATATTAACTTTTCATGTGAATTTTATAGCTTTTTTATGCTGTCAATTGTGTATTCCTGCAAGTCCAAGCAGACGAGGGCTAAATTAATATAAGTTGTGCAAGATTTTCTCACATTTAAAAAAAGACCTTGGAAAGGCAAACATGTCTTGGCGAGGGTATTTATTAATAATAATAATAATAATAATAATAATAACAATGTTTAAGCAGGAGGCTCACATCACCAAGGTGTTTGTCAGAGAGGTCCTGTTGAGTGCCTATCTTGATAGTTGACGGCCTGACTTCTTCAGGAATTTTTTTTTATTTTGTTCTTGTGACAGTTGTGGTGGGAAAAGTAAGCGAGGATGTTTTTCCTTCGCCATACGCGTCTTCTAAAGCAGACTGGGGACAAGAGAGTGAGCCTTTACCAGATTCGCGGTCACGGATGAGAGCTATGCCAAGACAAGCATTCACTGATGTGCCGCCGGGCCAAGGTAAAACATGTAATTTTTTAAGTTCCAATATTCTGAAGTAGGAAAAAAAAGGCAAATATCACGTGGTATCTGAAATTATCTACCATTTTTTCAAAAAGTAGCACAAAA